TTCTTAACCTAAAGTTATGCTTCTTATTACAGAACATACTGTCATGATAATAACAGTAGCCGTGTTTGTTCACCATTGTTTCTCAACTGCTCAAAACAATTCTCATACCTCAAAACAGTATTTCTTACAACAGCTTTGGTTATCATGGTTGTGAAGATGGATGTTGATTTCCCATTGGGTAGTTTTCAAAGAAGCAGCCATGTTAGTCTGTGTAAGTGCATCAGACAAAAAAAAATCACTCAAAGCAAAAACAAGAAAAGAGACAAAAAACATTGTGGCATCTTAAGGACTAACTTCTGTATTTTAATACGAGTTTTAATGCATAAGTGCTCTTCCTTGGACTTAAGTGTGAGACTAGTTTTCCTTCTAGCATCAGATCTACGGATCCTGATCACCTGTCTTGTCTGGTTAAGTTTCAGGGTTTTTTTTACCTCATTTATTCCATTCCTGTCTCCATGCACCAGTTTAATATCTCAACAGCTGCCCTGGAGTGAGATGGAAAGGAAAAGTTGGGTGTCTGTTATTTATTTATTTAAAACATTTGTAGCCTGCACAAGAACTCCTAGTGGGTTACTTATATAATGCTGACATTGAATTCTCAGAGGATCTTTCCTAGTAGTTTGATATAGGTAATAAAACTGTAGGAGAGAAAAGATGAGAGACACTATGGGGCCTGAAACAGTGATTGTTTCCTTACCCTGTCCAGGAAGGACTGGCCCCTCTGGAAGCTGTCCCAGCTGGACAGTGCTGAAGGATACCACAAGCTCATACTGAAAGCCACTGAGAGATTCTACTCTGTTTTGTAGAGAGTCATATTTATTTCCTTGTGCTTTGGATAGACACGAAAGACATGGTTGTTGTTTCTGTTCATCTCTTTTCTAGTGTAAAGATTGCTCCTGGCGCTGTTGTCTGCGTGGAAAGTGAAATCAAGGGAGATGTCACGATTGGTAAGAGCAAATTGGTTGTGTGATGCTGTATTTGTTGGTGGCTTTGGAGCTAATCATCAGTCCTTCCAATTCCCAGGTATTGCTTATTGTTGTAATGCAGGTATTGGATGATATGTGTTGGGTAATAGGATATCTCGGGGGGGGGGGAACATCCCTGAACTGTGCTGCTCAAAGCACGACTCAGCTGAATAGATCTAGGAAGGGACCAGGAGCAGTGTGGAACAGTTTGTCTCCTTGTGTGCCACAGCTGAGTGAGAATCTGTTTTCCTACTTTCCCACTCCACTAGACAACCATGTATGAGCTTACTGTGTATTCTAAATAATGCACACAGTCCCAAAATGTGAAAAATATTCAGAAACGTGTAATCTCAGCCAGCCAAAGTTTACACCCCTGCCTTTGAGAAAACTCATGTGTGGCCTCTAATACTCCCCTCCTTCATACACAGTGCTGTTCCTAGAAATGTAATTAACTGACAGTGTTCTGAATTCATTTTCCTTGCTTGAAAATATAGGTGATTCCTCTTGGTTACTAAACAACAAACTACTTTTTAATTTCTCTTTACTGCCATGTATTTATTAAGACTGGTGTCTTCAGTTTATACTCCCAGATGATAAGATTTGGTGTTTAACTTTTGAAATGCCATCACCCCCTTCCATACTTTGTATCTCATTCCACATTTTCATAAACCTAAATGTAGCATTCACCCTTATTATGTTAAGTAGTCATGCATATTCATGTTACAGGCTAATGTTGCTAAGAAGCGGAGCCGAGAGATATGTAATAAAGAAGTGGAGTCAGAGTCAGTCAGTCAGAGAGTCACTGAGAGTGGAGAAGGAGATACAGTGGTGCCCCGCTTAACAATTATCTCGTTAAACAACGAATCTGCTTGAAGATGAGGTTTTTGTGATCGCTTTTGCGATTGCAAAACGATGTTTTAATGGGGAAAATTCGCTTTACGATGATCAGTACCCTGCTTTGGGAACCGATTTTTTGCTTTACGGCGATCAGAAAACAGCTGATCGTCGGGTTTCAAAATGGCCACCCGCTGTGCAAAATGGCTCCCTGCTGTTTTCAGGACTTAATTTTCGCTGTACAGGCACTGGAAAATGGCTGCCTTATGGAGGATCTTCGCTGGACGAATAGGTCTTTAGCCCATTGGAATGCATTAACTGGTTTTTAATGCGTTTCAATTGGTTTTTTCCCGCTTTACGACAATTTCGCTCTATAGCTATTTTGTTGGAACGGATTAACGTCGTCAAGCGAGGCACCACTGTAGAGCGTGGTATTTGGGAGATCTGAGGTGTGATTAGAGGGAAGAATGAATAAGAACTGTGATTACCAATAGAAGGTTGAGATTGGTGATAAATAAACCTGTAGAAGTGACCTATGATTAATAATCAAAACATCTGTAATCAATAAACAAAATTTATTTAAAAGACAGTGAAGTTTAGATCTTCATCCTTCCATAAGTAATGTTGATTTAGCGATCAACTGGTGGCAGCGGGTGAAAAGGAGTACTGTATTGGTTTGCCTTCATGTGCTCTGAGTCAGGCAGGGGCCACAAGGGGCGAACGTCACACTAAGGCTTTCCTGTGTTCTGCTGAAAACTAAATAGAAAGACAGGTATGTGACAGCAGAGTGCAGTTGAATATCACTGGGCCAGGATATGTGCACACTTGGGAGCCAGCTATGAAACTGGAAGGACTCACTCTTGAGGATGCTTAGAACAGCTTGAAGAATTTTGGGTGACATATTCCTGTTATCCCAGGAATAAACTTTGTATCTATCCCACAGGACCTCGAACAGTGATTCACCCAAAAGCCCGAATCATTGCAGAAGCTGGACCAATAGTGATCGGAGAAGGAAACCTCATAGAAGAACAGGCATTTATCATTAATGGGTCAGTGCGATTTCATATGTTAGAGTTTTATACACTGGTTGTGATCACTGAGGCCGCCTTTCCAAACCGGCTACCCTCCGCATGTTTTGGACTATAACTCCTCCAATGCCTGATCTACTGCCATGTTGGTTAAGCCATATGAGAGTTGTGTTCCCAAATACTGTACATGGAGAGCATCAGGTGCCACTCTTGATGCCAAAATGGTTCTGTTTAGCTGCAGAGAGAGTACAGTATATTACAAATTATGTTTGTTATAGGTCTAAATAACAGGTAAACAATTTTTAGTAAATGGATCATCGTAATTTTTAACTAAGGGACGTGGTAGCACTGCAGGTTAAACCACAGAAGCCTCTGTGCTGCAAGGTCAGAAGACCTGCAGTCCTAAGATCGAATCCACATGACGGAGTGAGCCCCCGTCACTTGTCCCAGCTCCCGCCAACCTAACGGTTTGAAAGCATGTAAAATGTGAGTAGATAAATAGGTATCACCACGGAGGGAAGGTAACGGTGTTCCATGAGTCGCGCTGGCCACGTGACCACGGAAGAATGTCTTTGGACAAACGCTAACTCTATGGGTTGGAAACGGAGATGAGCACCGCCCCCTAGAGTCGGACACGGCTGGACAAATTGTCAAGGGGAACCTTTACCTTTACCTTACCTAACTTTTAACTTGGTAAATTCAACTGTGCATGCTGCTAAAAACTTAGAAAGTTATCTTTTAGGGGAATATTATAGAAATATAACCCAAGTTAGAAGTCAGTTAAGAAGTTACAGTTTTTCATCTTCTGAATCCCTTATTACAGACATACATCATGAACCAAGCTTATGTTTAAAAAAAAGGATGCTATTAAGTCAACGCTGGCTAACTAGGACACAACATCTTAGTAAATATTGTGGTTGTGGACCAGTAATTAATATCCACGACAGGGCTGATTATGTTGGTTTGAGTTTCCTTGTTGAAGAGAAACGCCATTAAAGAAATAAGTCTAAAAATACCTGAGTTAAAGAGCATGCCCCCTTTACAATCCATGTCGTCAGCAGTTCACTGCCAAAAACATGTAGTTGTATAGATTTCTTTTAGGGTTCTCTTGATTCTAGGAGCATAATGTTCAGGAGGTATTTAGAAAATCATGTGAAGTTCTTCTGTCATTTTGAATGAACACACCTTCATAGGGTGACTAGCATTCTGCTCATTCCTTCTTTAGTCTAGCAGAGCATGCTAACTTCAGCAAAGATCAGCTGTCATCATCAAACCTGCAGTCTTACTGATCTTCCTTTATGAAGAAGGTGACACGAGATGACTCTGAAAGGTTTTGCTCTTCTGCCTTCATGTTTCAAACCTACATGGGGATTTTAAGCCATTATTCTGCAAACTGAGCTGAATAGCTCAGTGCATTAGGTATCTGATTGCTGAGTCAGGGGTTGGGAATTCAGTTCCCCCCTATGCATCCCTGAAGAGCCAGCCTGTGTGGCCTTGGGCAAGCTGCGCCATCCTCAGAAGAAGGACTTCTGAGTACTCTACCTAGAAAACTCTGAAAAAGGAATCACTGTAAGTCAGAATTGATTTGACAGCTCATTGTTGTTGTTGTTGTAGTCCAAACCAGAGCCGAATTCATATCTGAATTGCTATATACGTGTTAGGTATTACAATGTTCTTGCAAGGTCACATCCTTTCCAGTATTCCAGAAGAAACAGGCTTAACTGGGGAGGAGGTGCAATAAAGGGTCAAAATCAAAAGGCTCCATTTAGTACAGAGATTGTTAATCCTAACGATTAACAACAAAATCTCAGTGTTTTCACAAAACAATGACATTTTCCTAACCTTTGGAAATATTAATACAGATATTTAATTCTCTTACAGCTATCCTGAAAATATTACCCCTGATACAGAAGAGGTGGCAGCCAAACCCATGATCATTGGTACCAATAATGTATTTGAAGTTGGCTGTTGTATCCTTTCAAAGATCAGTATTCAGAGATAGAATGGTCTCTGTCTGGGCCCTACAACAAAGGTTACAGAATATTTTAAGTGATAAAAAGATACTTTTTGTGATGTAGCAATTTCTTAAAGCCACACCTCTCATGGTGGCAAATTATCTGACATTGCACAGGTACTGTTGGTACTTTATTAATCTTTTTGTGGTCTTTCTCTCCAGCGCTATGCATTTCTGAAGCTGCAGGTTAAGGAAACCCTTTGTTGTTGTTTAGTCATTAAGTCGTGTCTGAGTCTTTGTGACCCAATGGACCAGAGCATGCCAGGCCCTCCTGTCTTCCACTGCCTCTCAGAGTTGGGTCAAATTCATGTTGGTTGCTTCGATGACACTGTCCAACCATCTCATCCTCTGTCGTCCCCTTCTCCTCTTGCCTTTACACTTTCCCAACATCAGGGTCTTTTCCTGGGAGTCTTCCCTTCTCATGAGACGGCCAAGTACTGGAGCCTCAGCTTCAGGATCTGTCCTTCCA